CAGGAATGCTGTAGGCACAGACTGTCACACCTGAATCACAGGACATAGAATCCCTACAAACAGATTCTGACTTCGTCTCTACTTAAAATCATCAAGAGAACGCTCCTATAGAAAAGCCAATAATGGCATTTCAACATCTTGTGCTAGAAACTCTCGTTCCTATCAGTCAACCTGATTTAAAACATTAAAAATACTAACTCGATTTTGGGATTACAGCTTTTCCTCACCTAGACATACTTTTACTTAAATTGAAAAAAGGAAGTCTATGTTCCATGTGAAAACATATTTTGAAATGTTGTTACAGTTTATACCAAACACTGATAAGTTGCAGAATTTCTGATACTTCTTCACAAATGGTATATTAATAAAGACAGGAATAAATAGCAGTTTATCTTTGACTTCAGGCCCATTATCCTTGCCCCATAAAAGTACATCTTTCCTCACTGTACAAAAGGGTTCAGAAGATAAAGTATGAAACATATATTTAAATTAAATAATTTACATATTTTTCTTAAAGCACCTCTGTAATATAATCTAGTGAAAGTTTATACCCTGCAATTATCTTCTTGTATTTTACAAATTGAAACATGAAGAAATGGTATTACAGTAATTTAAACAATAAATCCCACAATACATAACAGTATCAATAACCTTAGATCAAACCCACATATAATTTAAATCTTTAGTAAAAGAAGGATAATAAAGCTGATTAAACCTAAATTTAAAAAAAAAAAAAAAAAAATATATATGCAATGGATTACCAAGAAAGCACTTGAGATGTTAGCAAGCACCAGATGCCATGCTACACCTTACATTTCAACACTTACTAAAGGATTAGGGCTTTCAGGGAAGGACCATTATTTGTAAGACCCTAAGCAGTATCAGAACAGCTGCAAATGTATTTGTTCAATGTAGCTGCAGGTTTTCAACCAAGTAAGAGGGATGCTGTTAAGGAGAGACAGGGCTGAAATTGTTCCTCTTTAAACGCAGTACAGGCAGCTACAGTGTAATCTCCAACTGCTTTGTCTGGTATGGTGCATAAGTCTTTCAGGCTTTCCATTAGAAATTAAGGCAGAAATTCAATTTAATAGTATGTGACCCAGCTCCCATGATACATAAATCTCCCCAGCTTTTAGCAGTTTGAATAAACAAACAAATGTTTAGATGCTTATTATAAGCTCTTTGATATGCAAACTTGTGCTAGCTCTCTCATGAGAACGGACTTAGTGCAACTGCTGGTATTTCCTAAATCTGTGCAGGCCAGAAATCAGGCAAAAATACACTCTTTGGCAACACTTCAGCTTCCTAGCAGCTGGCTAGAACCAAAGCACAAAGGCACATGGAAATTACAAATAAATAAAAAAGATTTCTTTAAATGCAAAGAAAGATTCAATTTCTTCAAGTTTTTACCTATTGTCTGTCAGTTTGTGTTTAAAATAGAAGTGGGATTCAAGAAATTTAAAAAGGTACAAAGTAACTGATTTTTGGGTTAAGTGGCAGTTGTGTGCTGTTACACTGAAGATGGTAGACCTTTAAAGAAAATAGCTAAGAGGACATAAAAAGGAACATCAGATATCCCTAATACTGGACATAAAACCTTTGGGTTTTTTTTTCTTCCCCCTGGTCAAAGTACCTAGGGCATCCGAATAAATAAATAAACCCCCTTAAAACAACCCTAAAAAATGAGCAAGCTGTAGCTTTGTTGAGAACTTAAGTCGTACCATTGTTTCCTAGGATTTTTCCCTAACCATCTGCTGTCTCTTGTCTTAAGCTGTTTGTGGGTATCTATCTTGGTTGCTAACCAGAGCACTTCAGTGCTACAATAGTAAAGTTACCTTGGTAAGAATCAGACTAAAACTATACCTAACAAGCCAGTAAATCTTTAATATTTTCTTAATCCTAAAATCTGATCCCTTTATTTGCCTCCACAGAATGGGTATTTTAAAGTATTAGATGACCTGTACAAGGTGGAGATGCTGAAGGCTCTAGATTTCAACCTAGTTCAGATTCCAAAGAAATGAACACAAATGGGGTCAGTCTGAAATGGCAAAAGCCCGCTGCAGTCACCTACTGAAGTGGCAAATATACTTCATTAAAAGTAGAAGGTAGAAATTCAGAACTTGTTTTGCCCATTAACGCCCATTAAGTGAATTGTCTGCCCTGTGTCACTCTTTGAAAAGACTGTAGGTAAGTGCACAGAGCAGCAGTGTGGGCAGTGGAATCCATCCAGAATTTTAGGCCATGTTAACATCCTGTTCATATTTCTGTAATTCAGAGATGTGTTCTTTCCATTTTTATTTTTTTTCCATTAAAGGTCTGCAATTTAATTTAAAACAGAAATCAAACTTCAATGTCCAAGGAACTAGTCAAAAATGCTTGCTGGTTTTCAGCTAACAAAACAAAATGGATCTGGAACAGGAAAAATGCAAATTACACCCTTTACTAATGCTGATAATAGGAACCTGTTACAAACAGCTGCTCATACAGCTAAACATCATGCCTTCCACTGCATTTTGCTGTTTTCAATTCTTTACAGTTTTGATGAGAATTGAAGTATTATTAAATCTTCCATGTTTTTTAAAAGTTTCAGAAAACTGGTTTAGACACTTTTGAGAGCAAGAGCAGGATAAAAAGGTTTTGTACACAGTGACTGTGCCTGGTTTCCTTGAAAAGCTTTTGTACACCAAAACTACAGAACATGACTTTGGGATTTGCTCTTTGCAAATATCTAAGCTCTGGGAAGGGGGGCAGGGGGGGAAGAAATCAGCTAATACTTATTTTTTTAGAAGATAAAACACTTGGGTATTAGAGCCATCACAGAATGGCTGATACTTTGACAATTTCTGGAGTAAGCAATGTTGCATATCAATCATTTCAATGCCCAATGTCTTACACTTAAACCCCCAGTTCCCTAGTGAAACACGGCTGACTGGAAGAATAAAGCAGCATCACTGCTAAAATCCTCTTGCTATTTCTGAGGGCGTACCTTGTACTGCTGTAAACCACAAAAGAGAACCCATTTCTCATCTGCTGTTTCCTGGTAAGACCAACAATCTTCTCTGTGTTAGAAGCAGCTGTAACGTAAAGCCTATTTCTTCCTGTTGCCCACTGGCAGCTGGGAAGGGGAGAAAGTTTTGTGCAGGTGCTTTTATTGGGTCTATCCTGACCTAAATGGTCACCAAATTTGAGGCCTATGCTTTAGTATTTTACATTAATTTACATCTGACACTAAAACCTCTGATAATGACCATTGCCTGGATAAATACCAAGTTGCTTTTAAACCTGTAATTTATCCAGCATCTAGCCATGCCAGAGGGCCTGTAAAGAAACAAATGGGAAACAGATGAGAATCATAGTGTGATGTCCTCACTTCACTGATCTTACTTAATTCTTCTAGTAAAGGTGTAAGATTCTGAACTCCTCAAATGTGCTACAATAAAACAAGTACAAAGTGTTCTCCTGTGCCACTGAAAGCTTAGCTATTGCGAAAATGCTAAGATTGGCTCCTGAGATCTTTGTGTTATGAAACAAATAATGTGAAGTCACCATATTAAAAAGAAAAAGAAAAATAAATAGCACAGTGTCTTGCATGCAGCTAGCACTTTTGTACTCTCTGATAAAAGTACTCTCTGATAAAAGATCCTGCAAAATGGCAAAGTCAAGCAGTTTCCTCTTACGGCTTATTTTGCATCAGCAATAAGTACTATTATAAAATCAGAGTTCACTCTCAGTGATAAACTTACTCTCAACTGTGGTCTCTTTCATAATTGCACAATCTACACCTACAAATGCTGTTCTTGGTAATATTGTCTCCTTATCCACTGTGGCTGTATGGACAAGAACAAAATTTGGTGAAGTAATCTAGCTAATACTTCTATCGACAAGGCCTAAGACAGAACAGAAAGAAATACAGCTAAGTGGACAATTAGAAAGAATGAAACACTGTATTCATCACAAAAGTAAACAGGTCCAAACATCTCTATACTGCCAATATACTTGTCCAGAACGAAGGTGCCTTTTCTATACAATCAAATCTTCAGAGCAAGCTATCACTGCACTAGAATGCTGTGCAGTTGAAATTCTTTTCTCTGGGCTAAGATCAGTTTTCACTCTCTCCAAAACTCTTGCTAATACAAAATAGCATTTTAAAGCCAAAACTGCTTGAGCTATTACAAGTTCTCCAAAATACACATGGTATGATACCATTTTTCTTCAGGGACACTTTTGTATTTCCTTAAAACACTTTTGAAAAAAGGGTTCCATCACTTTAGCAACATTTACTCTTCAAGAAACACCTGAATGGAGCATTTCTGCTGTATTTTAGATAACTGTTCGGACTTTAATCTATTTCATAAAAGAACCATCTTTTCAACATGCTAGTCCTAAGGTGTAACCTTACTAGGATACACCTAGGCTAATCCTAAGGTATACCAATGTAATACTATATGATGCTGTACTGCATTTCATGGAATTAAAGCAGTAGTGAATCAAAGGTCTTTCAAATTTTTTAGATGTGTATATACAGTAATATCCAAGCATTTCATACACTTAAACTGACAGCTGTAAGGAAAAGTGTTAGTTAGTTCTCAGTAACTACCATTAGCCAAAAGTGCATAACCTTTATGATTGTGCATATACCTGCAGAGAATTTGTGGGATTTGTTATATTAATTCTAAAATGACTAAGCCAGGAGGAAATACAATTTTGTTCATTTCTGTTACTTGACATTCTGATTTATTATACAAATATGTATTCCTTACCAATCTTAAAATTTCCAAGTAAAAGAACCATTTTAAGACACTTCATGAGCACTATGATCAGTACTTTTCTGCAGAAATCTTTCAAAAGAAGACAAAAGATCCCAAACCAAAAGAAGTGTAACACTCCAGCTACCCAGCATTTAGATTTTTCATGCTCTGGGCTGAGTGAACAGCAGATAACTGTGCAAGTAGTTTTGCTCCCATCTGTTATTAGTATTGCTCTTGTCTTTAAATATTGTGGAAAAAATTACTAAAAATCCTTAATACATATCCCTGTAGATTTCCTGTAGTAAAGGGTGTAAATGTGCATCAGATTCAGTCTTCTTAATTATCTGAACAAGCTGAGCGTGCTCTGTGACAAGCTGTCGGAGATCAGCCATTTTTTGGAGAAGTTTCGGAAAGAGGAAGGTGTCATCAGGATGGTTGGTTTGCAAATGAAGTTTCAGTACATGCACAATGCTCTCCTGCATTTTTTCAATGTGTCCTACATTCACAAGACCAGGGCGATCTGTTCTCGACACAAACAAAAGAATACATGTCATAATTTTATCATTATTCTTTAAAGTAAGCTACTTTATAAGTTCTATATTGTAGGCTACAGTGTATGTTTACATTATGCACTGAGGGCAGTGAGGCTTAAAATGAATCTGAAAAAGACAAGAAACAAAGAAGTAGTCTTCCTTACCCCTTTTGCCAAAGTTTTGTCAATGCCAACAGTTATTTGAGGAGAGATTTCATACTACATACAACTCATGCCACAAAAGCAAAAAACCCCCACCATCTCTCACCCCCCAAACCAGCAGAAGCGTCCAGTTTTATATTCTGCATGATAACAGAATTCAAACATTAAGGATGGAAAAAGCATGTGGCTATTTATAGAGAGTTCTTAAAGTTTGGTAGCAATATAGCAAGACATAAATAGCAGGCTTTCACTCTTGGTTCCTGTACGTATACTGTCATAGCACAAGTTATTGACAGGACGCAGAGAAGCACCTATTAAGGATGTTTCATTCTTTCTGGTATATGATCTCATTTTCAGCTACTTAGTCCTGTAATGCTTTCACTTTCCAGATTAAACTTCTCTGTAAGAAGTCTGAGGTAACAGACTACATACGTTTCTTGAAAACTTAAGGTAGTTCCTAGGAGAAGGATAGAGGGGGAAAGCACAATAAAACATTTTGCCTTCGAAGAACTCTCTTCACTTCTGAAAATGTCAAAATACCAACTTATTGTCCAAAAGTAATTCAAGATTTGATGGGAACTTGCTGACTAAACTAGCATATGAAGCTTCTGAAAGGTTTTATCTCTCCTTGTAATTGCTGAGGATGCAACCAGGACAGCAAAACACCGTATGAGTTTGGCAGAATGCAAAAAAGGCAGGCAGGAGCAGTTGTTGGAACTTTCTTCATCTTTTATTTTCTTTTTCTCTGTTTAATATCTTTGTTGGCAACAACAACAGTGGGATTGGTGTACCCTCAGCAAGTTTGCTTATGACACCAAGCTGTGTGGTGCAATTGACATGCTGGAGGGAAGGGATGCCATCCAGAGGGACCTTGACACACTTGAGAGGTGGCCAGAGCCAACCTCATGAAGTTCAACAAAGCAAAGTACAAAGTCCTACACCTGGGTTGGGGTAATCCTAAACATAAATACAGACTGGGCAGAGACTGGATTGAGAGCAGCTCTGTAGAGAAGGACTTGGGGGTGTTGGCTGATGAGAACCTGAACATGAGCTGCCTTCAGTGTGCGCTTGCAGCCCAGAAAGCCAACCATAACCTGGGCTGTATCAAAAGGAGTGTGACCCGCTGGGTGAAGGAGGTGATCTTGCCCCTCTACTCTGCTCTCGTGAGACCTCACCTGCAATACTGCGTTCAGCTCTAGGGACCTGAACTTGGACCTGTTGGAACAAGCCCAGAGGAGGCCATGAGGATGATAAGGGGGCTGGAGCACCTCTGCTATGAAGACAGGCTGAAAGAGATGGGCTTTTTCAGCCTGGAGAAGTGAAGGCTCCAGGGAGACCTTAGTGCTGCCTTCCAGTGCCTAAAGGGGACCTACAAGAAATCTGGAGAGGGACTTTACAAGGGCATGTAGTGACAGGACAAGGAAGAATGGCTTTAAACTCACAGAGGGCAGATTTAGATTAGATGTTAGAAAAAGGGTTTGATTTTTATTTTTTTTTTTTTTAACAGAGAGGGTGATGAGACCCTGGCACAGGTTGCCCAGAGAAGCTGTGGGTGCCCCATCCCTGGCAGTGTTCAAGGCCAGGCTGGACAGGACTTTGAACAACCTGGTCTAGTGGATGTTGTCCCTGCCCACGGCAGGGGGTTGGAACTGGATGAGCTTTAAGGTCCCTTCCACCCCAAACATTCCATGACTAAAAATTAATCTTTCAAACCCCAAACAAAAAAGCACCAACACTCTTCACATCTCACTTTTAATAACAGAGTAACTAGACCCCTCTCCAAGTAAGGCTAAACAGTAATTCCAAGCACATCTACAATTCTGCAAAGGCAAATACAGCATCAAGACTATTAACAGTTACACATTATCTTCCATGAAACATGCTAAACAGGAGAATGACATTGTTAGCAGTAGAACTGAATCTTCAAGAAATATATAAACTTTTCCATTAAAATTATTGATTCACGGGAATATTAAAATTCACTGCCTTAAAGAACAAAGACGCAATGCTTACCTCCACAGCAAATGATGGCAGCAACAAAAAGGGATATATCACTATCATCCAATTCCAGTGCATTGAATTTCATTGCAAAATCAAATTTTGGCTCCATTATATCACAGAATGGCTTTCTCAGGCTTTTCAGGAACTCCCGGGTTATAAAACCATTTCCATAGGCGACTAGCATCCCATCCTTGTTCATCACAGATGCTAACATGGCAAATATGGCTTCATAAACTCCATATTTTAACAGTGTCACTTGATCATTCAAGTCGAGACTGGAGAAGCCAGGTATAGATTTGGCAAATTCAGTAAGTTCAGTGACTGTCTCTACAGATGTACACTGGCAGCAGTGGAAGATTCGAACCTCTGCTTCCTTGTTCTGAATACCATTGGCCACCAATTTTGCCACCAGGGTTTTCTCTGCCATACACAAGGTATCCATATCATGTATAACAAATGGCTACAGAGGAAAAACAAAACTAGTTCAGTTTCAAAATAATGGTTATTAATCATTGGTTTCCTAAAGAATAGGAATTTTGATAATCTTTAACTTTCATGCTGATCGGTCTTCAACTATCAATAAACCATGAGTTCTCACATATTTCTGCATAGAGGTACCAAGTATTACAGAATTACAAACTGCAATATCTAAGAATAAGTCTGCTCTGCAAACAACAATGCAAATAGTGAAATGTAAATATGTATGACATATCTTTAGTCTAGTTGTATGTAGTAGTTTTACTGAAGATCCAGAAGTACTGTGCTTAGTATGCATATATCCATATCAGAGCAAGTCCCAGAAGGTTCATAAAAGACTTGTATTACCTTCTCCAGAAGTCCAGGTTATTCTGCCTACACTCCTATCGATTCCTAAACTAACTACACTTGAAGCACATCATGATGCTTTCCTGAAGTATCCTAGGGGGAATACAGACAGTAATTTAAATATAGGATGGAATATTTGCATAAGAACATGAATCTTCTGCTACTCTTGTGTTTTATTACCAGATTTTCATAGACCATATCCCAGCTGATCTACCATAGAAATTCAACCCATCTTTCTAGCTACAGTTAGTGCTAAGTCATCTCTAAACCCAAAATCCCACTCGAATGTCTGACAACACAAAATTTCAGTCTTGGTCATGGTCTTTTCCATAACCCCCGTAGCTTAAAGAGGTATGTTCATTACAGACTGATGAGCCAGTCTCTTAAAACATCATATAAGAAAAAGTATTCAGATGTTCTTAAGAACAATCAGAATTCAAAAATGTTTTGGTATGTATCTGAAGAGGGCAATGAACTAAAGGAAAACAAGAAAACCCAATGCTCCCTGGCCCACTAAAGTCATGGCAGTTGAAAATAAATCTAGTTCTGTACATGCTAAGCAAAGCACCTTCCCTGTGCTGTTCTGCTCATCTCAGATTAAGTATCATGAGGAACACCAGGTGTTCTGTTAGAAACTCACAGAATTCACTTATTTCACTTAGAAAACTGTCAAACATGATCGTTTCCCACAGTTGTCCACTTTTAAATGCTTATGGCAGCTGTATTTTCCATCTCACTTCTATACTTACTGTCACTCAGAACAGAAATTTCTGTGTGCATGTGGATATGAATGGAAAGTGGCAAAGCAATGAACACATTTCTAAACCCCTTAAAAGATGTAGGCTATCTTGTAAATCTTTTTTGCGATTTATCATCATTTCACTATGCAGAAAATAGGTATGGCCAAGGACTTAGAAGCTAAATTTAAAAATGATACCTTGCCATGATGAAAAATGCTAGTTCATTCCCAGATGAATTATAGTGGTGACACGAATTAGGATTCACTAAATTAGCTGTTAACGCACTTCTCAGAAGCAGGTGGATTACTAACAACAAATCTTTCTTTCTAATTTTATGTTAAAAAGTCAAAAGAAAATTAAAATGTTTGTTTTCCCAAGAGACAAAATAGCTTTAAAACCCTCTTCTCTTCCCTGCATATTGAAGAATGAGAAACCAGCCTGTTGATAACATACTAGGTCTTATTCCTCATTAATTTTTACATTTAAATTCACCAAGACACATGCAAGCCACTCTAGCTAGTTGACTGGATGACTATAATCCAAGAGCCTTGATGGCATAAATAGAAACACAACGATTAGGATGCCATGATCTGCAATCCCTTGCATGTACAATACATATTGTAACTTATGATTCTCGCATGTAGTAACAAGCTTGAAAAGAACTTTATGTAGATACCTATTTGGTAAAGTGTTAAAGCATGGTATTTACTGTAGGTTTATGTGAGCTTGTACCCCAAAAATTTTAAGCCTGTGCTTAATTTTATACATCTCTTTAATCCAATGAAAAAGACTGGGATTACTCATAAGTCTCTCTTTTAATGTAGAAGCCTGTATTCTTGGCTAGCCTAGACTATAATATGCCAAATTCCATAATTTAAAAGACAGCTTGCTTACAATTTTTTAACACTTATCCCCACAGTTACATGTTTTTTTTATTATGGCATATGTAAAGCCTCTTCCCTGCAAATTTTTAGTGAAATTAAAATTGTTGGTAAAATAAGAGACTGATCTTCTACATATAATTAACATAAATCCCAACAGAATTTAAAACAATATGCATAAAGTGAAACAAGTCAGTCCTTAGAATGGTTATACAATCTCATGAGCTACACAACAAAAAGCAAGTGATAGCATTAAGTAGACCTTGGCTAAATTATCCTGAAAGAAAAATAGCCTCTACAGCACACGTGTCTTCACAACCTTGCTTGCTTCTCCCTTTCAAGGTAAAGACCAGGAAGGCCAGGTGAGGAAATGGCCAGAACTGTAAACAAAGAATTACACTCTCAAGTGTTCTTTTCCCTCCTGCCATTAATATTGTTGTGATTAAAACAAAAGTCATACAGAGCACCTGTACACCTTAAAAGATAACAGTATTTATCCTGGCATTTGTGGCAGAAAAACGTATCTATTTTTCCACTGTCAAATAGGAAATTATTTTTGAACTATTTACCCCCCCTATACCAAGAGGTATTCACATTCAGATGTCACTTTTTCCTTTTAATTAAGAACTAATTCTCTTTCCTTGTGGAAATTTAAGATTATAAGCTTCCATTTACAAGTTAATCACCTGATTTTCCTTCAGTTTCCTATTATTCTGATAGTGGCTAAAAGCAACCAGATCTACTACAGGTATTCTTTTTGCATATTTATTGTCTATATTAACATGATGTTTATTTTCTAGTAGATTTGCTTAAGAGTTGAACAAATTATTATAATCATCTTACATACCTGACAGCTTTACTTTAAAGTTACAGCAAAAGTACTTACTGGATTGTTACTAGTTTTCCCTGCAAGGATGATTCTGGCTTTAACCTTGTTCATATTGAAGTTTTTCAGGTAAGCATCATGAATTCTTTTGGCAAGTGATTTAAGATCTGCCATTTCTGAATCTTCTACATAATTTTCACCTGTCAGAATTTCTGCCTTCAACTTGGCCTTCTCAGACCTTGGCATTCGTCCAAAACGTATTGCTGATGGGAAGACACAATTATAAAACAAATGTTAGTTATACAGAAACCTGTATCTTTTAACATTGCTGGTTAGAGCAGTATGACTTTGTGAGTAGAAAAACTGAGGTAGAGGCAGTATTTTTATTATGATAAATTCACAAGTGAAAAAATCTCATCCTTTCCAACACAGTCAGAGACTAAGTATTGAGACAAAATGCTAACCTGAAGGTAATCAGATGTTTCAAAACACAAAGTGGTATCTGCAATGAGCTAGAACGCATGCCCTTTTCCTTCTACATTACCTAAGTAGTTGCATTTTTTTTTTTTTTCTCCTTACTGTGTTCTACAACTCTCAACAGGAAACCCAAGTACACCTTGGGAATTCTAAAAACTGAATAAACTCCTATCAGGAGTTTGGCAGAGAGCGCACATGCCAGCTGGAGAGCTGCCTGGAGGGTTACTCCACAGGGGACACTGCAACAGGGTTGGGCCCAAATCCCCATTGCTGATCCTGAGCCTGCTGGGGCATTTAGTTCTTTATGCACTGAATTTTCAGTTCAACATATCTGTACTGTCTAGTGAGAATAAAACAGACCAGGGACTACGATTTATGCTTAAAGGCTATAGTCAAAAAAACCTCCTCCTAGACTCAGCATTTTATGCTTCTTTTTCTTCAATAAATTAGCCCTTCACAACTGAAGAGGATGAGAACAGAGTTTCAGTACCCAATCTAGTTGTTAGAATATTCTTCTGAGAAGGAGATGTGAGTTTGCAACACCACTGCGTATGGAGGTGTCCCAGTTCTCAGGCAAGTGATCTTGCCATTTAACAATAAAACAGGCATGTCAACATCCTTCTTCAGTTTCAGTCAAAAACTAAACCAGTTCTATTTTAAAAGAGACCTTACCCTCTGATGGTGTGCGAGGTTTTAGAATGGCTGATATAGCTGGTTACTCTTATCACGTTTCAGCATCTAACCAGTGAGAGGACAGAACCTCACTGCTTAGACTGAGCAATTCAGATCATAGGCAGAATTAGCCCTTCAACATGCCCAAGGAATTTTCTCCTGACACGAGATGTCTCATGACATAAGGAGGTGACTCTAGGCATGATCTGAAATATGATTTTGGACTTCAATGGAAGCCCAACATCAAAGGCCTGTTTGGAATCTGGCCATGGGTCTACTGGAAAAGTGGAAGAATATCTGCTCTAAACTGAAATTTACAGCTTCAACTGAATGTTAAGCCCTAGCAACCAGCACAGTTCCCTGCTCAACTCCTGCCCTTGGGGTGTTACTTTGTTGGCTGGCATATTCTTCCCAAGCCTGGTGCTTCAGGAAGGTTACCACCAGTCTTGCAGAGACTATCAGCTCTCTCCCAGTGGATGGTAATCTCAGTCAAGGCTCACCACAAGGAAGGCAGACTTCCCCAGAGCCAGAAAGTCAACTCTCCCAATGTCATTCTAGGACTCTAGACTAACATGTCATAGGCAGCTTCCCCAACCACATCCCCACCTAGCTATCTTGACTGCGTATTCTCCTTAGGAAGTTCGTCTCCTAACCCACAGCTTTTCACCCAGCATTTTCACCTACCCATTCCCAAATTGCACCTGCTCTCAGGGTCGGCCTTGACACTATCAGACCTAGGTAGGAAAAGTAAACTACTGTCATGTGCCTGAACAAAATGTGTTTTCTCATGGCTGGGCCTCTCCCTCTTTACCAAAGTTGCTTCGCAAGCTACATACTGTGCATAAAACTACCTTGCGGGTTGAAACTGGCCTGTAAGCCACAGGCTTATGAGCCATATCTTAAATCATTAACACAATAACATAATTTTTAAACTGAATATCTAAACCCTCTGAATTTTTACCATTCCATATAACAACCAACCTACCAGATTTCTGTTCCACAGTCAGCACAGATCTTTGCCCTCCCCCCCAACTCCCTGAACCGTCTGCCCAAGAGCTGTTGCACTGTAACCTGAAAAATAATGAAGTCTGGTTTTCTACAGATTACTATCCTACGTCACTCCCTCCCACAATGAGCTAGTTGTTCTCCTACTCATCTACAATGCCTTTGATCAGAATTCTTCCAGTATTAAAACTTGTTTCAATGGGAGTAATGGTGCCAAAGTTCTGGATGAAGAAAGCAACTAAATGAACATTCACATGGACAAATAGACATGCACCACAATTGAGTGTAAAGCTCATAGTGAATTTGGCAGCTGAGTATCAATTACATTAACTACTCATTAGGAAAACTGGTGTCCCCCACCATGATCCAGACTGTAAAAATTTGAGGTTCAACTTCGATGTACAAGTAAAAATGCTATCCAAGTGCCTGCTTCCAGAAGCAGACTCTGGGTAGGACCAAACAAATTATTAAGGGCACTCTTACCTACCATTATGTGACATTCCAACTGAAAGGCACTTTTGAAAACGACAGTATTGGCACTTATTACGATTTTTTTTCTGAATTTTGCAGTTGCGATCACATTTATCATAGATGAGTTTTAAACGAATTGTTCTTCTAAAAAAACCCTATAAAAAGTTTGAGAAAAGAATATATAATGTTAAAGAAAGTTGATTACTAAGCTTCAGTTATACAGGTGATTTTTTTTTCCTTTCTTTTATTGATGTCACTAGCAAAACAATACACAAAATATATCCTGTCCAAAGCTAAGAATCTGTGTAGGAAGTGGTAGGTACGAAGGTATGTACAGAATGGAAAACACAAAACGAAGGAGTAACTCCCAGCCCTCTTTCTTGGGAGAGGACCAAGAGCACAGAGTACCTGGGTAGATTTGTTCTTAAGTATTAAGCAAAACAGTCACATATTGTGTTTGTACACATTCTCTCAGCATGCTCTGTCAGAAATAATCTTCATCTTTCATATGTATACATCACACAGACACACAGATTTAACACATCTTTTCTTCATCCAGCAAACATGAGGGGTACAACAACACAGCACAGCGCATAGAAAAAGCCAAGGACACAAAAAAAAGAAGCATTACAGAAGAGCCTATAAGTCAACATCTTACCATGATGTCTTGGTACTGTAACGTAAGGTTAGTCTCATACTACAAAATTATAGGGTTAGCAAATTTAGCAACACTGCACCATTTTGTGTTAGATGACATGCCAACACTGTGGGACACAACTGACTATGAAGTGGCCCCCCATCTCTCATAGGTATTGTAGCATTATTCCATAAGATTTTTATTGGAATTATCATATCCTGACATTGTGCATAAAAGAAAAATGTACACATATACAATTATTTCTCTAACCTTGCATTAGAATTTAGAAAAAAATGGAAAACTAAAACATTAGAAGGACAAAGAAAAGAATCTTCTAATTCATGGGCCATATGACCCCAAAAATTATACACTGATGATAACATTAACTTGCCCCATAGACATGCACTGGCCCCAAAACTACAGCAGGTACAATACTAAGTGATTCAGGCAGAATGTGGTGGAGATGAGAAATTCAGTATTTGTTACTGGTTTAATGGAAACCTAGCAAACTGGCATGCTTCTCACAGCCATACTCCCAACACAAATAAAACACTAGTGGAGCAATTAGGCTTTTATTTTTGATCACAGTTTAGTGTTTTAAGTTGTTTTAGTGATTAACTATCTATATGTAGAAAATCAGCATTAAAACTATCATTGTGAATTGCCCCTGCTTGATGAAGGTCTGGTATTGAGTTATGGTATCCAGTTACGTATCTGAACAATTTATTTCAGAGAAAAGATCGCCAGTATGTTTATTATTTAAATATTTTTAATGGCTAGAATTATATTAATTAAACGTTTATGTAACAAATGTTTATCTTCATATAACCCTGTAAATAAAGCAACATGATTTAGGTTCTTAAAAAGAAAATTATGACTGTACCTTACAACCTTCACAAGCATGTACTCCGTAATGGTAGCCTGAGGCTTTATCCCCACAAATTCTACATTCAATGTTTAATGCTCCACTGGGTGATTCATCTATGCTACCTGGAGCTGTGGCAAAATTAATGGATGAAGGACTGGATGCTGGTGAAAGGGTGTCTAAAAGAAAAAGGAACACTTCATAAATACTATACTATCAAAATTGATACCATTTCTATACTAAAACCACATTAAAAAGAAAAGCAGCTTATTCTAAAAAACAATAATGAGTTAATAGTCATTAAGTGATAGTATAATTTGGCCATAAGTATTTGAAAATAATTCATATTTATATTAACAGTGCAAACAGACACAAAACACAGGATGCGCCTTGCTAATTTTGATGAGACATACAATGTCAACAAACAAAAAGCCTTACTAAAGTAACTCTGATAACAAGAACTAGAAGGCTGATAATGGTCCTTTGGGATTCCATAAATACATGCCACACAAAATAAGAGAAAATCAAGGTATTCTGGAGTTTCTTACATTCCATTTTTTATTTGGAATTTTTCAAATGTTTCTCAATTTGATGTGAACATGTTTTTTTTTTTTATTCCACAACTTAAAATAAGTAACAACGCCCCCCTACCCCCAAATCAGTATTTCATTTAAATCAAGGAAATTTTCTTAACCATTAAAGTATACGTATACCATCTTCACAAATAGCATGAATGTGAAACCAAAAAGCAGTATTCAGCATGCCCAGAGAGGTTGTGGCTGCCCCATCCCTGACAGTGTTCAAGGCCAGGCTGGACGGGGCTTGGAGCAACCTGGTCCCTGCCCATGGCAGGGGGGTGGAATTAGATGAGCTTAAGGTCCCTTCCAACCCAAACCATTCTCTGATTCTATGTACGGGTTGCCATGAGCAGTAGACACAATATATATAAAAAACAAAACAAAACAAACCCCACCAAACAAATGAAACAAAAAAAACCAACCCAAAACAAAAATCAAACAAAAAAACCCAACGCAGTGAAATAGAACCCCCATGCCTTCAAGTTTGTATTGCAATATCCATTCAACCTGTCAATCACACTTTCCAGGAAGGTTATTAACATCTCAACTTGCCATTACATCTTCCATCTCTTGTGCCTTACTGTGGAGCATCAGATCTATTGCTATGGCATGACAGGAAACACATTCCTAGCTCATGGTGAGTTACACTTAAGATACACTTAAGGTCCCCCTGACTTTTGAAGAGCTACTCATAGTTTTAAATGCTAATCTAAACTAACTAAATCTAAAAGCAGTTAGACTACTTCTCTTTCTAATGAGATTTTCTGAAAGTGAAAGCATGCTCATGCACATCAGTAGAAAGGCTGAACAGATATTAAAAGGAAGCTAACACAAATGTCTGCTTCCAAGACAATCTAGCATTAAAAGTCTTGCTCAGGTATTTTATGTTTTGATTATAATGGAAAAAGCATTTCTGAATTGTTGTACAATGAAAAAACCTCTCCACACATTTTACTACTAGATGAACATGCTAAAAACCTAACACATTCCAACTTTAATTATTTCAATTAATTTTTCCACCTTGCTCAAGGAAAATATTTTCTAAGGCCAGAATTTCTTTTATCTTCCATCTTGCATCTTGCACCACATGACTTCAGCAAATTAATGGGTGTGTTATTTTAAAAGAAAGATTAAGAAACACTCATGAATGTAGGTCAGCAAGTATTATGTTGGAAAAAAACCTTGGCATAGAACTCAGTTTGCACTGCCAGCACTGCCAAGCCCACAGGCATCAGAGTCATCAAGAACAGCCTAAAACCCAAGATTTTTTTTAAAGCACGATTTTAATTTCTTTTTACTTGCTTTATGGAATTTGAGCCTTGAAAATTTACACTTTACATCTTCTCTAACAGCAAAACTAAAATGTTTTGCAATGTACACTGAATACTCAAATTAGAAGGTGACACTATAAGCTTGTACACACATACACACAAATAATTTAGAAGCCTCATGTCTCAGAAGGACTACGTTATAAACTACGTTATAATAACCTTTAGTCTAGAAGGTACTTCTCCAACGTGGAGGTCTATAACCAAAAGGGACCCAGATCATTGCTCTACAAACATTTCTTTGGGCAATAGTGCCCAGAGGCAGCTCTTCCTGCTCCCTTTAAAACTCACACTATTCCTTTCAACCACTTCAGCACAGAGGTACACCTCAAATGCGCTAGTGCAGTTTTTGTAAGGTAAAATAGTAATCAGCCTGTGAATTGATTTAAAGTAAGAAACCAGAAAGTTAATCATAAACTGCTAAATGATTTGCAAACCCACAGTTTCAAAAGGAATACCTTACTGACATTATTGCAGTATCCTATGCCACTTCAATGATTTCCATTTTGATCTCTCAAAGGCTCTCACTAAGATCTTTTGACTAAAGACTATGTACTGTATTAGCACTTTGAGACTGGTACTTGAACCAGGGTAGAAGTCATTAGCTGAACAATATTCCTCTTTAGAAAGGGGAGAAAACAGCATGTTCAGGACATCAGTACACCAAAATACATGGGAATTCTGGGGGACCTTTTAGTGGTCAGATTTTTGGCAAACATTTCACAACACTTTTTGAATATATGTGGTTTGAAGAAACTTAAAAAAAATGAGGAATTCCTTTAGTTCAATGTTAGTGATTTCCCATATGACTACAATCCATAGTAACTTCTTCGACAGTGATTTTTACAAGTTGTATTGAAAAAGGTGTTGATACTAATAACAATTTAAAACAGTGACTTTACAGTAGTTTTCCCATGGCATTTGCCTATTAAGCTAACTTCAGCCTTACATATTTTACAACTGTGCTATAATCAGCTTGTATATTTCTAATGTCACTTAGTCATAAACAACAATTATTGCATTTAAAAGGTTTTTAATTTCTGTCACTGTGTAATACTATATGTATTTATAAAATAAAGTTTTAAGGTAAACCAAAACACTCATACCTGTTATGACAGATCCATCAGATCCTGGACCATTTCCCAGTGACTGGAACTCTGTTAAACTCAAAGCTCCAGAACTATCATCACCTAGAGACTGAGAGAGGTCTTGAATGTTCTCCATATCTTGTAGGAACTCTCCAGATAAAGGGCTGCCTATATCATCCTCCTCCAAAGGAGTAAGGGGATAGAGCTGGTTTTCAGTGTCCACCATGGTGATCAAGTAGAGCAGTCACTTAAACTTCTTTACACTGGTGAAAGAATAATTAGAAAATCCTGTACTTACAATACTATAATATTTTAATTTTTTAAACATATTTGAATCACAGCACACTGAATACATGAATTCTAATCCAACAGCGAAATACTATACAGCATTCTGTTCCTCCAGAAGCTTTATGCAACATGAATCATCAACAAGACAGGGAAAAAAACCCACACATTCAAAACAATTCAATATGAGTTAAAGTTATGACAAGATCAATCTGTGGATTGTTGTTTTCTCTCCTTTGCTGATAAAAATTACATACTGTGTTTCTATAGAAGGCATTATGCACCTCCTATCAAAATGTATATAATAATTACAAATATCAAAGTAAATCAGTATTATGTTTGGGCTCTTCTCACTTTATCTAACAGGTTTAGATATGCTGATTTTGTCCTCTGTTCTCATCTCTTTAAAATTTGTTCGATAGGTCTTACAACACTGCAGTGAACAAAATACTGTCTTATACTAAAATCTTCGTAGAAGTGGCCAAAACTAATACTTTCTTTACCTACTTAGGTCAGATAACATCTTCAGTGATCCAACAGATCAGTAATTCCTAGAGTTAGTTTTATTTCCTACAGTGAAGCAAGTTTACAAATTTGCCTACAAAGCTAGCCACCAGTGTCATCAACTTTGAGTAACAGCAAAAATCTGTTAGAGAACATCACAAATTATAATTATTCTTCTGCTGACTTGTCAGATAGGAATAATAAACACTGCAAAACGTTAACTACTTGCTGCATAGATACACTTCTGCTAAAAGAAACTCCTCTTTTACGTTGAGTAACTAGCACTTGCGTTATACTCGGTATGCGTACAAACACATAGTGCTACAGTCTTGCTCATACAATTGAATATGCACAAGCATCTAGAGAAGCTCTGACTGTTACTGTGGTTACCACTCAATACTAGCCTTTCCAAAGAACACACGTTCACAGCAGTTTACTGTGAAGCTTGAAACTACCAGTAACTGGCTATATGGATACATACAAATGCTGATTTTACACTAAAAGTATGATGTTTTGATTAAAAAACCCAAACAAAACTTCCTTGATATTAAAGTTTCAAATACCAGCTAGTTTGATTCATGTGACACTAAATATTTTATATTAAGAAATCAATCCTTTTCTCTGAAACTCTGTGATGGATTCATCCTATGAAAATCAGTCATTTATTTGGTAGGGAAAAAAAAAACCCACCTTTTTTTTTTTTTTTGCTATATAATTGGTCAAAAGGATACAGTTAAAAGTAATACAAAGTGCTGACTGCTGCTGTACACACTAATGACAAAAGACAGCTATCACTTTTATTCAGTTGTATTAAAAAACCTTCAAAAGGTCTTGAAGCAAGGTATCCAAAATCAACCCTTTTCTCCCCAGGCTGATGGCAAAAGTCTGTCCTCAGTTATCTTTGCATAATTTTTACAAGGTATTACACAGATGAAAGTGAGGGCAGAATGACCTACTCTAAAGACGACTAAAAGTTATGCTAGTAAGAACCTCTAACGTGTGCACAGTTTTTAAATTCCTTATTTTTCAGGTGCAGTTATCAGTTCATACTCCTACATCTTTCTGCTATTTAATGGAAAAACAGTGGTTTGTATGTATCACTCCTATAGAGTATTCTAACGTGGTCCTTATATAACTGTAAGGTAAAACTGGCAATCAAAAAAACCCCTCTGTATTATAAAAGGCTTCCTATTCCACAATTTGCACCCTTCCAGCCAATCAATGTTATTTAAAGTATATACATTAGACTTGACAAAACTTTCCTTTGACTTTTCTCCCCCAGTGTAATAGCTTACCATGTACCTGGAAGGACAGAACTAAAGGAGCAGCAGACACAAACACACAGCAAACTCCAGAGCTTCTACTCACTTTACTTGGTTCACATGCTAAAATGGCATTCTTTATGAAAGTAAATACAGAAGACTTCATGACCTGTCCAGCCTGAGATGGCAAAGTTCAGTAGGTTCGTTGTATTTTGACTACTAAAATGAAGCCAAATACACTAGACAGTTCTGAAGACCGAAAGGAATCACAAATTACAATAATCAGATCTCTAAACACCTGATGTTACAAACCAAACGACCAAATGAGATAGAACTCCACACTCTCTTCTTGAGTGGAAAAAAATCACTGCCACTATTACTAACTTGCCATCTCATACTACAAGGACCCTAAGTAAAGATCCATTTGCACAATTTCTTTGAAACAGGATAGTTTTAACTAGAAAAGGAAAGTATGTTCTGTACCACATGGTGTAGCAAATAAGAGTATATAGGAGACAAAGTATGGGAATTTACCCACCATTTCTAACACCAGTTACAGACGACGGGTATATTACTGCATCAACTGTGTTGGCTGACAAAAAGCTAATACAAGCCGGCTTCAGTGTGCGCTTGCAGCCCAGAAAGCCAACCATAACCTGGGCTGTATCAAAAGGAGTGTGACCCGCTGGGTGAAGGAGGTGATCTTGCCCCTTTACTCTGCTCTCGTGAGACCTCACCTGCAATACTGCGTTCAGCTCTGGGGACCTGAACTTGGACCTGTTGGAACAAGCCCAGAGGAGGCCATGAGGATGATTAAGGGGGCTGGAGCACCTCTGCTACGAAGACAGGCTGAGAGAGCTGGGCTTTTTCAGCCTGGAGAAGTGAAGGCTCCAGGGAGACCTTATAGCAGCCTTCCAGTGCCTAAAGGGGCCTACAAGAAATCTGGAGAGGGACTTTTTACAAGGGCATGTAGCGACAGGACAAGAGGGAATGTCTTTAACCTGAAAGAGGGGAGATTTAGATTAGATATTAGGAAGAGGGTTTTTTAAAGAAAGGGTGGTGAGACACTGGCACAGGTTGCCCAGAGAAGCTGTGGCTGCCCCACCCCTGGCAGTGTTCAAGGCCTGGTTGGATGGGTCTTTAAGCAACGTGGTCTAGTGGAAGGTGTCCCTGCCTGTGACAGGGGATTGGAACTAGATGAGCTTTAAGGTCCCTCCCAAGACAAACCACTCTGTGATTCTGTGATTTATACTTGGTTATGTCACATAGCTACCCTATCACTATGCACAGCTTGGCTGTATTTAAAAATAACAGTTAAATTAAGTTATCCAATTTGATATATTAAGTACTCATTAGGACATTGTGCCAGATTGCCTGCACTGGAATAGAATATTTATAAGGAATACAAGAGTTTTCATGAACATTGCAACTTCTTTCTGAAGGGATCAGTTGAAAGGCTGGTGCAGCTTTTATTTTAAAAGCATCCTACTAATACTGATTGTGATACCTAATTATTTTAGAACATTATATTGGAAAACTGGAATAAAATAACTTCTTTCACATAGATGACTAAAGTTTATTTGGCAGAAGTTATAGTCCCTACAGAATTGCCATAACCTGAAATTATTTAGTAAAATCAATTCCAATTGTCACTTTCTTTTAAAGCTCAACAGTTGTCCTGTCTCCAAGGATCACCTTTGTTTCTGTTATAAATCCTGTGGGCTTGTAACCTGACAAAGTACTAAGAAATATCTACATATGCTACTCATAGGCCTGTCAAAAGACATAAAATAGAAATTAAAATGATTGCAGCATACATGAAGAGAAAAAAAAAAACCCAATAGAAATTCTATGAATGAGGACTCCAAATAAAAGACTACTTAAAAAAAATAACAAAAAAGCCTAATGCTTTAGGAATGTATAGTCACACACCGAAGGAAAACAGCACAGATTATTGTAGATGACCTGACAAAGATCTTACTGCTAAGCCACCTGCATGTATTCAGAACAACACTTCCAATCTCATGAAGACTCAAGATACAGAGTAAATTAGCAGATGAAGAGTGCCTTACAAAACATTACTGAAAGAAAGAAAGAAAGAAAGAGAAAAAGAAAGAAAGAGAAAAAGAAAGAAAGAGAAAAAGAAAGAAAGAGAAAAAGAAAGAAAGAGAAAAAGAAAGAAAGAGAAAAAGAAAGAAAGAGAAAAAGAAAGAAAGAAAGAAAGAGAAAAAGAAAGAAAGAAAGAAAGAAAGAATCAACTGCAAACATTTTTGGTTAACACCATCTGTTATTCTCTGCCAGTACTTTCAGTATTGAATATCTTCGTACAATTTCTCTGTCGAGGCAGCATGAACCAGCCCAGTGGCAGCTGGAGCTAACGTGCTCTTTGCTCTTAGTTATCTAACAGAGTTCAAAATATTACATTACCTGATATCCCTGACATAATTGGAATATACACAAGCTGAGAAATGAGAAATCACATATTTTATTTGTGAAAATTAAGTTAGATTGCTATCCCTGTGACGTAGCTATTCTGTGATGAAGGAGAAGAATAAAGAAACCTTGACATACGTTGGTTTCATAATGATGGTTGAGAATAACTGTTTTCCAGCAATCCAAAGGAGACAATCAAATCTGTCTCCCTAAGAAGGCATCAACAAAAAAGGAAGAATGGAATGGCAGAGCACATGATGGGCACTGCTCCTCCAGAGTACTCTTCATGAAGTTCTGCCAGGGTAAAGAGTTGTTCACAACACAGAAACATTATATTCCTCAGCAGATACGTAGCATGTTCTTTACTGTGAGGGTGCTGAGGCACAGGAACAGGTTGCCCAAGGAAGCTATGAATGCTCCATCCCTGGCAGTGTTCAAGGCCAGGTTGGACAGAGCCTTGGGAGACTTGTTTTAGGGTAAGGCATCTCTGCCCATGGCAGAGGGTTGGAATTAGATGATCTTAAAGGTCCTTTCCAACCCAAACCAGTGTATGATTCTGTGGAGACCAGTAACGACTAGTGTCCCTCAGGGATTGGTGTTGGGACCT